ACACGTGTCTTTTAGAACACACTAAAAAAATTGATCTTAATTAAGAACTGTTTTTAGTTGCTCTTACTATTTATTAATTAAATTTAATCAAATCAATACTAAAAACATGCTCTAAGAGCTAGCATTGCACATGCTCTAACAGCTCCAACCTGCACTACTCCCGATTCTCCAAAATTTCGGAATTAATTACCCAATATAATGCTAATGCTCTAATCTATATAGATTAGCCAAACAATTAGCATATTAATATAGGATCAATTTGGTTAATAACCAAAAAAAATTAAAACATAAAAACTAACTAAAAACCCTAAAATTAGTGATTATAATTAGTGCCACGTAAGATGGTTTGCATAGTTATTATATTTTTATTTTTTTAGTTATATTTGCCAATTTCACATTTAATTAATATATGCTTACGCACGCAGGTGCTTTGCTGCAAAATAAAGCATGAGTCAAATACTTCAATGTGTAGATAGTGGAACTAACGTGATCACATTGTAAAGAAACATGCCGTGAAACTACACCAGCTCGTAGTAATTAAAAAACATTGCAAATTAAACAACAATATTGCAAATGATCAGTTTATATTATACGGATTTATTTGTAGATTTTCAACGGTCAATCATGAATACGTAAATGTTTGTCTTGTTTAGTGGGATTTTTTAAAAATAAAGCCTTCAATTGATAGCTACGAGTACGAGATGTATGAATTTTGTATCTATCATGCTTCAAAGGTTGTAGATAGATCCACTAGAAACTTACATCCTTTACAATGACATATCATATATGTATCCTTTTTCATTTTTTTTCCAAACAATTTTTCGGTGTGTTAGTTTTTTTTTTCAGAAAGTAAATCAATTAAAATCTACGATCTAAAAATCTATAGACTAACTTCTCCATCAATTATTGATACAAGCCTTGGTGAACAAAGAAGATCTGTATTCTTGGGTTGTGTTGTGTGCAAGTAAGGTGAGAAACTCTCCTAGCCAGAACACGGGGATGGGGAAGTGAATTGGACCACACAAGGGATGATAAGACTTGTGATACACCAAAGTTCTCCTAGCCTTGAAGGCGATTCAAGTAAGAAGAGTTCTGAAATTACTATGCTAAGAATTTAACTAGGGTTTGTTCATAAAAACGTGTCTGTCTCATTAAAGGGGTGGCTAAGGCTTTTATAATGACCTTAGCCTCAGAACATTAGCCCTAAAATTAAAACAACAAGTAGTTCTAAATGGAACAACAGAAAGTTTAAAACTGAAACAAAACAACAAGTAGTTTTAAACCAAAAAGAACAAAATAATGCTAAGTATAGAAAGAAGGTGGCGTGTTGNTNTTCTTGTAGAGGCTGCAACTTCTGATTATTCCAGGGACTTGTGAAGTAGAGAACAAGTCCTTGTTTGCACACTAGA